TCCACCACTGGGTCAAAGGGGCCAGGTGGTTAAGGTGTCTGACCATCTACGATCACTAGCCCTACACCACTGGGTCACGGTGGCCAGGTGGCTAAGGTGTCTGACCATCTACGATCACTAGCCCTTCACCACTGGGTCACAGTGGCCGTGTAGTTAAGGTGTCTGACCATCTACAATCACTAGCCCCCCACCACTGGGTCACAGTGGCCAGGTGGTTAAGGGGTCTGACCATCTACAATCACTAGCCCTCCACCACCGGGCCACGGTGGCCGTGGGGTTAAGGTGTCTGACCATCTACAATCACTAGCCCCCCACCACTGGGTCACAGTGGCCAGGTGGTTAAGGGGTCTGACCATCTACAATCACTAGCCCTCCACCACTGGGTCAAAGGGGCCAGGTGGTTAAGGTGTCTGACCATCTACGATCACTAGCCCTCCACCACTGGGTCACAGTGGCCAGGTGATTAAGGTGTCTGACCAGCTACGATCACTAGCCCTTCACCACTGGGTCACAGTGGCCAGGTGGTTAAGGTGTCTGACCATCTACGATCACTAGCCCTACACCACTGGGTCACGGTGGCCAGGTGGCTAAGGGGTCTGACCATCTACAATCACTAGCCCTCCACCACTGGGTCAAAGTGACCAGGTGGTTAAGGTGTCTGACCATCTACGATCACTAGCCCTTCACCACTGGGTCACAGTGGCCGTGTAGTTAAGGTGTCTGACCATCTAAAGTCACTAGCCCTCAACCATTGGGTCACAGTGGCCAGGTGATTAAGGTGTCTGACCAGCTACGATCACTAGCCCTTCACCACTGGGTCACAGTGGCCGGGTGGTTAAGGTGTCTGACCATCTACGATCACTAGCCCTTCACCACTGGGTCACAGTGGCCAGGTGGTTAAGGTGTCTGACCATCTACGATCACTAGCCCTCCACCACTGGGTCACGGTGGCCAGGTGGCTAAGGTGTCTGACCATCTACAATCACTAGCCCTCCACCACCGGGCCACGGTGGCCGTGGGGTTAAGGTGTCTGACCACCTACAATCACTAGCCCTCCACCACCGGGTCACGGTGGCCGTGTGGTTAAGGGGTCTGACCATCTACAATCACTAGCCCTCCACCACTTGGTCACAGTGGCCGGATGGCTAAGGTGTCTGACCATCTACAATCACTAGTCCTTCACCATTCGTTCGAGCGTTTGTGAGGCCTATACATACATTGTTCTACACAGTTATTAGTGATTTTTTTTGTAGGTTTTCAAATTTAAACATAGTAATATAGTAATTTTTGTGTAGAGATTTCCTTCTAAACAATATAAGTCATCATTCAGGTTTATTAGTAAACTTTCCAAACATCAGGAGCTAATAAACTTGTGACACTTTATCTGAAAATAGGACCACATAGATATGAAAGTGATACCTGTTTCATGAAACCAATGTTAGTCTACTGACATTATGACGTACTACAACCACACAACTCACAGCAACCTTTTATCATTTAACAATCTCAGGAGATATCTTATGTTTGTGAAAAATCTAAGAATATAATACAGCATAATATAAAAATGTTAGTGACATTTTATTTAACTGCTTTAAGCTTAAGTGATCCATATTTTTATCTTACTAGATGTGAACATGGATAAAAAAAATCAAACTCTATTGAATTTACTATTCATGATATTAGATATGATATTAGAGCTGTTTTTACAAAAATACAGGCAGTGTTAAAGGGCTTCTATGGAAATATTCCACAGAATTTAAGTTTTTATTTAATGTGCAACTCTGTTAATTTCAGATATTATATTTAAATTTCTTGTCATGGTTTAACATTCTTGCAGCAGCAATTGTTATATGCAGACAAATGCCTCGAGATACTACACCTCCACTAGGAAATAAGTCGGAGATAAAAGGGATTCCCTGTGTTGTAGAGAGAGAAGCAGATCTATTTTACTCTAGTGTCCTTGAAGTAAAAGATACAATAACATTATTTAAATACACTGTACAATCTATAAGCAATTATACAATCTTCAAATTATAGCCACCAAATTCTCAGTAGTGAAAAATCACAATGTTTAAATTATAGCAACAATCTGAATTTCTCTGTAGTGAAAAATCAAAGTTTATGACTCTAAAATCTATTCCATAGAATGTAATGTACTCCATTTACTACTATCTATGTTATCCACTGTACAGGAATTTAATTTGCCTTAATAGCTATGAATGTTGCAAACAAAGAAATATTATATTTAAATGACAAATTTGGTATCGTATCAACAGTAATTTTCTTCGTCTCACCATAAAACTTTCGTATCATTGTAATACAAGATAGAGTATTGTGTTATTTGAAAATATTGATTTAGGCTAACAACAGGAAAACGTCCTCTTCAGCTGTGGCTATGTACTCCTGGTCCCCCGAGAATTCCTACGGTCACAAAACAACTTAAATGATTACTGATTTGTCAGGTTGTATCTTCCAATCAATTTAATGAATACAGACTATTTGGTAGAACAAACACACCAAACGTGGCACAGTTGATTATTTACCGTCAGTGCTGTTACGTTTTTATTAAGCAACGGTCACTTACAAAGTGACAAAATAATCAATCATTCTTTTTGTGATCAATTAAAGATGGCTGCCACAATCAGTCATGAATAGTGTTTTAAATTTGAATCTGACGATTTTTATGACCAAAATGAATTTGAGATTTAATTTTTCTTTCCCTGATTTTCTTATTTATCCTCTTATGCAATATGAATCGTTTAACACTCTTAATCAAGATCATCATGGGAATTATTACTCAATCACATTCAATAGTTTTTATTAGACAAGATCCCCATGGGAACTATTACTCAATCACATTCAATAGTTTTTATTAGACAAGATCCCCATGGTAATTATTACTCAATCACATTCAATAGTTTTTATTAATCAAGATCCCCATGGGAATTAATGTTTATCTGAATTCAAGGAGTTGAAACGTGTTTGATATGCCATGTAAAACAACAAAACTTTGACAAATGCAAGATTTTAGATTGACTTGATAACCAGGAGACAACTAGGGCCCACCCATAGTACTTTAGCATTGGAGGCAGCATACCAGATTAGATAAAATGATAATTTGATATTTAATATATTAAATTATAGTTTATATACAGTGATGGAGCCAGCTCCTCTTTTGTTTCAGCTGTTATAATAATATAAGTTGTTTTGTATAGTTTATATGCAACTCATGACGTTTCCCTATTCAGTCATGATAATTGCATGGGCTGTATGGTTATATATGTTAATGAAGGTATGGTAATTAGTAGATGAGAAATTGACCAATCACAGAGAAGTATATTGTCCCCTATAGGGGTCTCTTAAATGGTGAGCAGCCCCCTTCATCCGGGGAGGCTGCAGTGAACCACGGTTGTTTATGTGTACCCACCCACCATCCCCAGCTACATGCCAAGTTTCATATATGCATATAAGTTCTGCCAATTGTAATGTAGTACTTATCTTTTGTTGTTTCCCTATATTTAGCAGCTGTTCCTTTTCTCATGATTGTATCTTTGTGCAATGTCATTTTAACATGTACCATGTATACTTGCCTGTGCAGGTATTATTGCTCTCTTTTAGGTTTCGGCTACTCACTTCAGGTAGGTTACTATATTTCTTCACTTCAGTTCTAATTATCTGGCTTCAAATTCTAGGGGAATTCACCCCAATCTCAACATAGTTTTATATTAGTGTGGGGATGCGGCTTCTCTTGTATTACAGGAGTCTAGCTGCTCTCATCATGGCTTCTCTATAGGGGTGTTCACAACCAGAGCCTAGTCGCTTATCTGGAGACATTTTCAGAGTCTAGTTGCACACTTCTCTGGGCTGTGTACGTAGGTGCTTCTCTGAAGACATTTTCAGAGTCTAGCTGCTTCTCTGGGATGCGGCTTCTCTTGTATCACAGGAGTCTAGCTGCTCTCATCGTGGCTTCTCTAGGGGCGTTCACAACCAGAGTCTAGTCGCTTCTCTGGAGACATTTTCAGAGTCTAGCTCCTTCTCTCAATACCCCCGGAGTCTAGCTTGTTCAAAAAATAGTAGCATAAATATATGGTAGTAAAATTGTTGGAGTGAGTAGCCCCTGATGCGCCAAATGTATTACTGTATGTAAATATGTTGCTAACGAGAGTAATAAACAGGTTAACTGTTTCCTGTGTGTTAGTTGTGTATAAAACGTTTCATCACCTATAATAGTTTATTACTATTCTGTTCATTTTTATATCACTATAGAACCATTTTATCGCAGAGCTAGATAATGCAAAACATAAGTTGAATGTTCATTAGGTAATGGTTTTTGCCATCATTTCTAACAGTTCTTAACTATGCTTATATATAATTAGCTGCTAAGACAGTGGACATTGAAACCAAGACCAAAAACAAAACAAAAAATACTTAAAAGTCAACATTATAATCAAATAAATTCTTCAAAGATTCCTTCCATATTTTTTCCATTATTTAATAATACAGCAGCGTTGTTTTCTGAGCTGACACATAAGTAGCTTTTTTTCTTCAATTTGTTTTCACAAAAGAAAACAAGACAATTCAAAAACATGAGTTGGGGTCTATTACGGACAGTCTCCATGGTTACCGTATTGCCATGTGACAGGGAGAACTGGAGACAGCCGAGCTAATTTGGTTAGAGTCCCTCATAGTCTGTACTGGTTGTCACGCCAGGCTATTGGTCGAGCTAATTTGGTTAGAGTCCTTGATGGTCTGTACTGGTTGTCACGCCAGGCTGTTGGTCGAGCTAATTTGGTTAGAGTCCTTCATGGTCTGTACTGGTTGTCACGCCAGGCTATTGGTTGTCACACCAGGCTATTGGTTGTCACACCAGGTTATTGGTTGTCACGCCAGGTTATTGGTTGTCATGCCAGGCTATTGGTTGTCACGCCAGGCTATTGGTTGTCACGCCAGGCTATTGGTTATCACGCCAGGCTATTGGTCGTGAATGGTGGACTCCACCAGTCAGGAAATAGCAACTATGTTAAGTACAAGTTACCGAAGTCATAGGTCCACATTTCTGCAAAAATGTCCCAATACAATGGCATAAACATGTGGCATAATCATTGTGTTGTCCTGACAATAAGACCATAAATATGGTTTTATCATTTTGTTGTCCTGACAATAAGATCCATACATATGGCATCATCACTGTGTTGTCCTGACAACAAGACCATAAATGAGGTTTTATCATTGTGTTCTCCTGACAACACGACCCATACATGTGGCATTATCATTGTGTTGTCCTGACAACACGACCCATACATGTGGCATTATCATTGTGTTGTTCTGCCAACAATATCAATACATGTGGCATTATAATTGTGTTGTCCTGACAGCAAGACTATAAATATGACTTTATCATTGTGTTCTCCTGACAACAAGATCCATACATGTGGCATTATCATTGCTTTCTCCTGACAACAAGATCCATTCATGTGGCATTATCATTGCATTCTCCTGACAACAAGACCCATACATGTGGCATATTCATTGTGTTGTCCTGATAAAATGACCCATATATGTGGCATAATCATTGTGTTGTCCTGATAAAACGACCCATATATGTGGCATAATCATTGTGTTTTCTTGACAACAAAACCCATAACTCATAATATTTAAAAAAGAGGATTCATCACAACAAGAACAATAAATCTAACACTACTAAAAGGATATCCTGACAACATAACCAAATATATTTAGCATTTACCTCAAGGATGACTCCACAAAACAAAGTCCATAAATCTAGCACTTACTGAAGGTATATCCTGACAACCCATATCTATACCATTACCAAGAGGATATCCTGACAACAAGACCTACACAAGTAACAGTACCACAAGACTGTTCTGACAACAAGACCTACACATGTAACAGTGTCACAAGACTGTTCTGACAACAATACCTATACATGTAACATTACCACAAGATTGTGCTGACAACAAGACCTTCACATTTAGCATTACCACAAGACTGTTCTGACAACAAGACCTATACATGTAACAGTACAACAAGACTGTTCTGACAACAAGACCTACACATGTAACATTACAACAAGACTGTTCTGACAACAATACCTACACATGTAACAGTACCACAAGACTGTTCTGACAACAAGACTTACACATGTAACATTACCACGAGACTGTTCTGACAACAAGGCCTACACATGTAACAGTAGAACAAGATTGCTCTGACAACAAGACCTACACATGTAACATTACAACAAGACTGTTCTGACAACAAGACCTACACATGTAACATTACCACAAGACTGTTCTGACAACAAGGCCTACACATGTAACAGTAGAACAAGACTGCTCTGACAACAAGACCTACACATGTAACATTACCACAAGACTGTGCTGACAACAAGACCTACACATGTAACATTACCACGAGACTGTTCTGACAACAAGGCCTACACATGTAACAGTACAACAAGACTGTTCTGACAACAAGACCTACACATGTAACAGTACCACAAGACTGTTCTGACAACAAGACCTACACATGTAACAGTACCACAAGACTGTTCTGACAACAAGACCTACACATGTAACAGTACCACAAGACTGTTCTGACAACAAGACCTACACATGTAACAGTACCACAAGACTGTTCTGACAACAAGACCTACACATGTAACAGTACCACAAGACTGTTCTGACAACAAGACCTACACATGTAACAGTACCACAAGACTGTTCTGACAACAAGACCTACACATGTAACAGTACCACAAGACTGTTCTGACAACAAGACCTACACATGTAACAGTACCACAAGACTGTTCTGACAACAAGACCTACACATGTAACAGTACCACAAGACTGTTCTGACAACAAGACCTACACATGTAACAGTACCACAAGACTGTTCTGACAACAAGACCTACACATGTAACAGTACCACAAGACTGTTCTGACAACAAGACCTACACATGTAACAGTACCACAAGACTGTTCTGACAACAAGACCTACACATGTAACAGTACCACAAGACTGTTCTGACAACAAGACCTACACATGTAACAGTACCACAAGACTGTTCTGACAACAAGACCTACACATGTAACAGTACCACAAGACTGTTCTGACAACAAGACCTACACATGTAACAGTACCACAAGACTGTTCTGACAACAAGACCTACACATGTAACAGTACCACAAGACTGTTCTGACAACAAGACCTACACATGTAACAGTACCACAAGACTGTTCTGACAACAAGACCTACACATGTAACAGTACCACAAGACTGTTCTGACAACAAGACCTACACATGTAACAGTACCACAAGACTGTTCTGACAACAAGACCTACACATGTAACAGTACCACAAGACTGTTCTGACAACAAGACCTACACATGTAACAGTACCACAAGACTGTTCTGACAACAAGACCTACACATGTAACAGTACCACAAGACTGTTCTGACAACAAGACCTACACATGTAACAGTACCACAAGACTGTTCTGACAACAAGACCTACACATGTAACAGTACCACAAGACTGTTCTGACAACAAGACCTACACATGTAACAGTACCACAAGACTGTTCTGACAACAAGACCTACACATGTAACAGTACCACAAGACTGTTCTGACAACAAGACCTACACATGTAACAGTACCACAAGACTGTTCTGACAACAAGACCTACACATGTAACAGTACCACAAGACTGTTCTGACAACAAGACCTACACATGTAACAGTACCACAAGACTGTTCTGACAACAAGACCTACACATGTAACAGTACCACAAGACTGTTCTGACAACAAGACCTACACATGTAACAGTACCACAAGACTGTTCTGACAACAAGACCTACACATGTAACAGTACCACAAGACTGTTCTGACAACAAGACCTACACATGTAACAGTACCACAAGACTGTTCTGACAACAAGACCTACACATGTAACAGTACCACAAGACTGTTCTGACAACAAGACCTACACATGTAACAGTACCACAAGACTGTTCTGACAACAAGACCTACACATGTAACAGTACCACAAGACTGTTCTGACAACAAGACCTACACATGTAACAGTACCACAAGACTGTTCTGACAACAAGACCTACACATGTAACAGTACCACAAGACTGTTCTGACAACAAGACCTACACATGTAACAGTACCACAAGACTGTTCTGACAACAAGACCTACACATGTAACAGTACCACAAGACTGTTCTGACAACAAGACCTACACATGTAACAGTACCACAAGACTGTTCTGACAACAAGACCTACACATGTAACAGTACCACAAGACTGTTCTGACAACAAGACCTACACATGTAACAGTACCACAAGACTGTTCTGACAACAAGACCTACACATGTAACAGTACCACAAGACTGTTCTGACAACAAGACCTACACATGTAACAGTACCACAAGACTGTTCTGACAACAAGACCTACACATGTAACAGTACCACAAGACTGTTCTGACAACAAGACCTACACATGTAACAGTACCACAAGACTGTTCTGACAACAAGACCTACACATGTAACAGTACCACAAGACTGTTCTGACAACAAGACCTACACATGTAACAGTACCACAAGACTGTTCTGACAACAAGACCTACACATGTAACAGTACCACAAGACTGTTCTGACAACAAGACCTACACATGTAACAGTACCACAAGACTGTTCTGACAACAAGACCTACACATGTAACAGTACCACAAGACTGTTCTGACAACAAGACCTACACATGTAACAGTACCACAAGACTGTTCTGACAACAAGACCTACACATGTAACAGTACCACAAGACTGTTCTGACAACAAGACCTACACATGTAACAGTACCACAAGACTGTTCTGACAACAAGACCTACACATGTAACAGTACCACAAGACTGTTCTGACAACAAGACCTACACATGTAACAGTACCACAAGACTGTTCTGACAACAAGACCTACACATGTAACAGTACCACAAGACTGTTCTGACAACAAGACCTACACATGTAACAGTACCACAAGACTGTTCTGACAACAAGACCTACACATGTAACAGTACCACAAGACTGTTCTGACAACAAGACCTACACATGTAACAGTACCACAAGACTGTTCTGACAACAAGACCTACACATGTAACAGTACCACAAGACTGTTCTGACAACAAGACCTACACATGTAACAGTACCACAAGACTGTTCTGACAACAAGACCTACACATGTAACAGTACCACAAGACTGTTCTGACAACAAGACCTACACATGTAACAGTACCACAAGACTGTTCTGACAACAAGACCTACACATGTAACAGTACCACAAGACTGTTCTGACAACAAGACCTACACATGTAACAGTACCACAAGACTGTTCTGACAACAAGGCCTACACATGTAACATTACCCCAATCAGACCAATATATGGTACATGTATACCACAACCATGCTACAGTGTTAACCTTGAAACATTGTTGGTTTCTTAACAATTAACGAAGCCACATATCCACTACAATTAGCTTTGTTCACCAAGCTTTGTTCACCTGTACATGTTGCACCACGCTTTGTTCACCTGTACATATGTCACCATGCTGTGTTCACCTGTACATATGTTACCAAACTTTGTTCACCTGTACATATGTGACAAGGCTTTGTTCACCTGCGGTTTGTTCACCTGTACATATGTCACCATGTTGTGTTCACCTGTACATATTGCACCACGCTTTGTTCACCTGTACATATGTTACCATGCTGTGTTCACCTGTACATATGTCACCATGCTGTGTTCACCTGTTCATATGTCACCATGCTGTGTTCACCTGTTCATATGTCACCATGCTGTGTTCACCTGTACATATTGCACCACGCTTTGTTCCCCTGTACATATGTTACCATGCTGTGTTCGCCTGTACATATGTCACCAAACTTTGTTCACCTGTACATATCTGACAAGGCTTTGTTCCTCTGCGCTTTGTTCACCTGTACATATGTCACCATGTTGTGTTTACCTGTACATGTTGC